GTGAGACACGGTTCGACTTCGCTCTTCCAAATCGGAAAATAAGATGACCAACCAAGTGATTTTCAGGAAACCTTTCAGCGGCCAGTGGACAAGCAGCGTCGTGTTGGCCGCGGGAGGCCTCGTGTTCTGCTCAATGTCCAGAACTGAATCTGTCAACTAGTGTACTAGCAGCAGCCCAACAAACCCGCGCCGCTTGGCAGGGTACCAACCCCGCGCGGCGAAACACCCTGCCGGTCCCAACCCCTCGCGGCAAAGAGACGTCCATTTGCAACGTCGGAAGTATGTAGCCGGGGCGGGCAGGGCAGAGGCAGACCAGCCGGCAGGCAATGGATGTCCATACTTGATGAGCCTCACAACCCACCCACTACACTAGTATCGATCTATGCATAAGGGGGCCCAAAGGGGTGAAGGAAGCCTTTGACAAAGGTTGCCTGCACTGGCGGTGCAACAGAAAACTTTAAAGTGCCCCGATTTTGCCATTGCGAACATGGTGGCTACCTCCTCTAGGGCTGTTGTGGAGTTGCAGTCGTAGGTGGAGGGGGAGGGGGAAAGGGGGGGGGGCTTTAGACGGCGGGTAATAACACGACAGAGCGGAGCCAGCCAACAGAAAGACTGGATGAATTGCGTTGGAGAGAGACACCTGAGCCGACGTGAATGGCCCGACAGAGATAGCCTGCGGGGGGCCTTCCCGTCGCGGCAGAGGGAGAGAGAGGGAGCGAGAGGGGGAAGGCCGGAATTAGGAGTCGAGCCCCACCCCCGCGCGCCGCCGCAGCGCTTATATAAGTTGGCGAAAACTTAAGCCAACCTTTCGATCTGGCCGCGAAAACGGTTTCATGGATTTGGTCATTCCACATGGCCGTTTTTAGGCGCTCATCCATCACACTGGCCGACAGGCCGAGGGAGCCGAGGAATGCTGGAGGAGAAGGGCGGGAGGGGAGGGGAGGGGGGGGAGGCGCCGCGTGCATTGACCGGGCCGAGAGGGGAAGGCCAGCCTATTGATCGTAATGAGTGAATTCAATCTTGTTTGACTCCCTGATTGCTCGATTCACGGCATTTCCTCTCACACCTCCATCCCCCCCCCCTCCTCCTCCCCCCACCGCCTTGCCCTTCGCTCCGTCTTGTTTTGCTGCCACATATGCCGCAGTCATTCTCTTCCTCATTCAATTACTCCTTCATTCATTCATTCCTGCGTTCATTCATTCATCGCCGCCGGGATGCGATTAGCTGGCCTGCCGCGTTACCCGCGCGTCCTCGACTCGTCGCTGTCGACGTCTTGGAGGCCTTGGGGGCCGCGGGGGCCGCGGGCAGGCGGTCTAGGGCGGCCCGGTGAAGGGCCCGGTGGCGAAGGGCCCGGGCGGGCCGCGAGGCGAGGGTGGCGCCCCACGGCCCCACGGCCCGACGGTCCCACCAAAACAAACTGGTGGGGGATGGGCCTGGTGGGGGCGGATCAGCTGACTGGGATCGAAGCGGGCTGCAGCGAGTCCGAAACACTAAACTGCAAAGAAACTAACTAATGAGGGCCTCTGGCCGCCTCTGGGTGTCAAAGGAGAAGGGGAGGGGGGAGGGGAGGCGTGTGACGAGAAGAAGGGGCGCTTTCTGGGACTCTGTAACTCGTGCAATCAAAGTCCATTCAGGGGGCGACCGGGGGCCGACATGCCCCCTCCACTCCCCCCTCCCCCTCCGCTGCCCCTTCCGCGGCCGGGCGTCGGAAACTACCCCCACGATGTACAGCCCATCCCCCACGCCCACGCCAGCCGGGGCCAGGTCCGACCGCGTTCCAAGGAAGAAACCTCATCAAATTGAGCCTCGAATTGGATTTCATTTCATTCCGAGGGGGTAACAGTGTGATTGCGAGTGTGTTTGTGTGTCAGGGCGCGCGCGTGTGTGTGCGAGTGTGTGTGTGTGGCTGTGTGTGCCTCAACGACACACAGTACGACAGCGCCCTAAGATCGTGATGATGGAAGCCTCGGAAAGAAGCGCGACCGAAAATACATCCAGGCCCCTCCGAGGCCCCCGCGAGGCCCTTTCCCCCTCCCCTTCCGCGGGGAGAGAGAGGGGGGGGGGCGTGACACTACCACTGCCTTCGACGCCGGCAATTCCGGAGAGACAACTATGTGATTATATGACAGCGCGATCATCACTTCCAGCCCTTGCGGCCTCCCAGCACTGTTCCAGCAGGCCCTCCAGGACACGAGCGCGGCAGTAGGCCAGCGGCGGGGGAGGGGAGGGGGGAGGATGACGCGGCGGAGGCAAAATAATTGATGGCGGGGAGGGGGAGCGACGGGTACTGTTTTGCGTGCAGCCCGCCCCTGCACTATGTGGCGTAATGAAACGGTCGATGTGTAGGGGCCCACGCACGCACACACGCACGGACGGAGCCTTTAAAAAAATGGCTGAAACAATCCGTACATTGTGGAGACGCTAAAGCGGCATAAACATTTCTCAGTCTCTCCCCCTTCAGGCCCTTCTGACCTTTCCTCACCGCACAATTGAGTTTTTCTTCTTCTTCTCTCCTTGCACCTGAAAAAGCGCTCCTCGGCGATGCTAAGCCATCGTGGTGCCGGCCAGGCGGCCAGCCAGCCAGCCAGCCAGCCAGCGCGCGGGCCGGCCGTGCCAGCCAGTCTCCCGGTCCGGCCGCTCCCCCCTCTCCTCCTCGGCGTCTCCTTTTCCCGTTCCCGATGCGGCCGTAGCTTACTCCTTCACCTCCAGGAATGTGAGGGTATGCGGGGGCGGGCGGGGGACAGACACCGGAGAGGGAGAGAGACAGACCGGCCGCCATGTGAGACGCCTCCGCCACGGCAACAACAACAACCACCTCAGTCGGCCACCGCCTCCGCCAACAACAAAAACAAAGACCGTTTAAAAGGTGTCTCGAAAATGGCGGCGATTCCCAGTTTCGGAAGTCTGCACTGCAGTTGCACTGCACCGACTCAAAACGAATATGAGACGGGTATTTGAAGCTGTCGGGCGTCGCGCGCCTGAGCGCGGTCAAATGGCGCGTTTCGTCGACAACAACAACACGGAGAATGAGAATCCGGCTCGGCGCGCCACACTGTGATACGCTGTGATACGCTGCCGGCGCTGGCGGCGCCATGGCGGTGCACTGACAGCATTCCCGACACCTCCGGGCCAATCAGGTGCTGTCAAACGCACCACCAAGACACCGACACACACCCAGACGGCCGGGCGCACCACGTGGCAAATTGAAAACGGATGTCGCGACGTTTCAGTCTGGCACCGCGTCCCCGCCGCCCCGCCCGAGATCCTGCCCCAGGATACCCAACAACAACAACAACAACAAGAAGAGGATCTTTTTTGCGCGCGGTAACGATCCCCGCCTCTAATTAGATTAATTAGGACTTGTTTCCCTGGCCGAATCCTGACGGCTTGTCATTGCGTGTAATTGCGTGGCACCACCTATCGAGAGAGAGAGAGAGAGAGCGAGAGAGAGAGAGAGAGAGGAGAGAGAGAGAGAGAGAGAGAGAGCGGAGCCAGATTGCTAGATCACCTCCTACGATAGTCAATTAATAAGCAGTTTGATTTGGAGCGCTTCGTGTTCAAGGTTCGGGTTTGGTTTGGTTAGTCTCATTAGCGATGACGCGATCGCGGCATCGCGCTCTCATTAAGGTTCCCCTCTCCCCTCTCTCTCTCTCTCTCTCTCTCTCCTTTGTCCTTCCCCGAGGTGCTCTACGTCTCATTTGTCGAGGCGCGGTGGCACGGATGTCAAGATGCAGCCAGCAATCCCCGGGCCGGCGCTACTCTCCAGCCAAAATTTTGGCAGCCAGGTTTTTTTGCTCCGTTTTCGGGCCTAAAATTTTGGCACCGGGTTTTTTGGGTCCCTTTTTTCGGGGCGGTCCTCTTCGTTTTCCAGCGGCATTCCAAGTGCTTCAAGTGCCCCTGCTTTGTTTGGAATCTCACGGCTGGGCGTTGCGATCCACGGCGTTCCTAGGCGTTCCGGGGCGTTCCGAGGCGCTCCGAGGCGAGATGAGAGTGAAGAGGCACCCGTCGTCTCGTCTCCCGCACCTCACTTGACTGGGCAAACACGGACCACCCTGCCCACAAATTGAACACTCATTCTGGGGAGAGCCCGGCCTGGCTGGAGCCTGGCTGGAGCCTGGCTGGAGCTTGAGGGGCCGAGGGTCGACCGCCCGGGTCGCTGCATGCGCTCGCCGGTCCCATCGGGATTGTTTCGTCGGCCGAATCTTGGCAAACGCGAGCAATGCTTCTCGTCGACCATCTCGACCATCTCGACCACGCACGCGGAGAGCCAGTCTGGGGCCTGGCCCGGCCCGGCCCCCTTCCTCGGCTTGGCGGGCTTGGCCTCGAGGCCAGGGGCAGCCTGGGGCAGCCTGGGGTCCCACGAACAAAGAGATGGGTGCTGCGGGGGGAGCGGGGCGGCCGGCTGCCTGCCTGGCTGGCCGGCTGGCTGGCTGCCTGGCCGCCTTGCCGGCTGTCTCGCCGTGCTGGACCTAGCCGGCGGCCCGGGACTTGGGTTCGCCTCCACAAGCGGCGATTATTCCAAGACTGTGTATTTGGGCCGATGGCTGGACGGCGTGGACGGAGTGGACGGAGCCGGGTAGTAAACCTCGACACGCCGTTTAACGACCTATGAATCTCGTTCCCCTCGTCCGCCCCCGCAAACCTTTCCGCCCCGGGTGGAGTCGAACCCGGGCCCCGCGAGCGTCGAATGGGCCGCGTTTGTTGCTCGCTGGAGGGGCGGCCAATCCGCCCCATTTGACTGATGCGAGGTTGCACCTGTGACAGCTGCGTCTCAGCTGAGGCAGCTGCCGCGCTTCCCACGCCGGCGAAGCAGCCCGGCGGACGGACGGGACGGACGGCCGCTCATGCACGTGCGAAGGCTCCGCGGTGCTGCGCGGTGCTGCGCGGTGCTCCGCGATATTTGGGCCCGTTGGCGCGAGTTTTGCCGCTTTCTCCGTCGTCCTGCACCGCCCTGCGGCCCACACGCCGATCTACATACATTTCCACACAAAGCGACTTACCTGACGAACAAGGTTCAGGCTCTAGTTGGAGCTGGAGCGGCGGCTAGCTAGCTGCGGCCCGAGGCGCTAGCGCGGCTAGCGCGCGGCGTGAGGAACTGTTGCATGGCTCCGAAAAAATCCGACGGCGGCGTGCCACGGCGTGGCGGGAGGAAGCCGCCGGGTGCCCGAATGCAGCGGGGGCACACGGGGTGGGTATCCTGGGCGCACTTACACACTCGCAAACTTGTAGTGAGTACACACACACGCACACGTCAGCCGGGCCCAACTAATGGTTTCCCGATTTTTCACAATAACAATGAAATCTCGCTTTGTCGTTTCGGGTCCAAAGCGCGGCGCTGGAAGCACCCGAGTGACTCTGCTCTGCACTGGATCCCGTCAAAGGGCACTTTCACAAACACAACTTTTCACTTGTCACACAACAACACATCCTCGCGGGGATCGCGTCGTCGTCGCGCGGCGTCGCGGCACGGCGCGGCGAAACGGCGTCGTGGTCGGCTCCGTCCTGCAGGGCCTCCCGGCGAGCAGTGAGTCGGTCGAGTCGAGTCGAGTCGAGTCCTGCCTGGCCCTGGCGCGGCGCGGAGCCGAGCGAGCCGAGCCGAGCGGAGACCGCGGCGGAACGGCGGGAGAGAACGCCCCCCTCCCTTCTCCCCCCTCCCGCCGCACTAATACGCCTAATGGTGCATTTCTAAACGACGAGTGAGCCCCCTCTCCCCTCGCTTCCCCCGTCGCCCTCCCCCGCCACCCCTCTCCCCTTAAACAACATAAAAATGCACCCTCCCCTCTCCCGCCTTGCCTGCCTTGCCCGCCTTGCGCGGCCTGCTCGCCGTCCCCCACCACCGGCTGCAGCCCCTCGCCCGCCCGCTCCGCACCCCTGCCCCTCCGCCGCGCGGCCGCCGCCAGCGCCGCCGACGAGGAGGAAGCCGAGACGTGTCGAGCCGCGTAGCCGAACGCTGAGCCGAACGTCGAGCGTCGAGCCGAACTGGCTGGCCAGGCCGCTCGCCGGCCCTGCCAGCCCTGCCGACCGTTGCGGTGGCACGGCAACGGGAAGGGGCAGCGCGGCGGCGGCGCGGCGCAGCGTAGGGTGCCCAATCACTCTTCACTCCAGCATGGCGAACCTGGCCTGCATCCTGGAGTCCTGGACGCGACCGCGACGTCCGCGTCGACGGACATGCGGCCACCCTAGGTCGGGCCGGCCGGGCGCGAAGAGGAGCCAGGAGAGGAAATGTCTGGGGGTTTTAATCTCCAGCTTCACATCAGCTTACAGTGCGCAACTTATTTCGCTTCTCATTTGCGCGTGCCCCCCCCCCGCACCCCTTTCCCGCAGCACAACGGCCGAGAAAGGCCAGCCAGGGAGGGGGAGCTCGCGCCCCGGACACGAATACGACATACGCCCCAAATTAATTAGAGGGAAACTTAAACGGATCGGGAGGGGGAAGGGAGGGGGCAGCACGGGCCGAAATGAAACTCAGTTTATGGAGTAGAGGGCAGTGCCGAGCCGGCGGGGCTAGGGTGACCAGGCGGCCAGGTAGAGTGACCATGGGGCGTTGGCAACTCGTTTCGAGTTGGTGTAGGGTGACCACTTGACCATGCAGTGCTAGGGTGACCACCGGGCTACTCATTCTAATGAGCGGCCGGCCGGCTCCACAGAATGCGAGCTCATTAACTAAATTATATGCAAACTACACCCTGCAGCGGCACACTTCCCGGAACACCAGCTAATATACGCTATGAAATGGAAGGTGTTAATTAGTCCACTCGCCTGGAAGGCCTCTGGAAGACCTCTGGAAGGCCTCTGGAAGGCCTCTACAGAGAGGCGCGTAAGCCACCTAGCAAAGGTGCGTCTGGACCAGGCTGCAGGGCTGCGTGAAAAGTGGCCGCCTCCCTGGCGAAGATGCAATGGGAGTATGGTCCGGACGCGGCCTCAGACACAATGCATTCTTTACAATAGCGACGAATCCCCTCATGTCTGTACACTGTCAGTTAAAATTTTCCTTAAGTGAAATGAAGATTTTAGAGCGGGAGCTCCCCGATCCTGGAGGCGAGGCTCGAAAGTTCAATTTCACTTGTTGGAGTCCTCGCTGCAAAGTGAAATCGCGCCGAGCAGTGTACTGAAATTGGGTGTCTGTTCCAAGAAGGCCAGGCCGCGCGGGCTGCGCAGCCATTGTGACTATTAACTACACAAAACGCAATTCGACCCCGAGCCGACAATAGCGCCCGTCCGGCTACCGTATAGGGTCCCTAAGGAATAAACCGCTGGATAAAAGGAACGAGGGGAGGGGGAGTGGAGCCGAGGCCAACAACTTGAAATTTGGGCACACAAACACTGTTTACAAAATTTGGAGCCAGTGTGTTCAAGAGCGCATGAGGCGATTGACTCATACTGATGGTGACAGTTTACGGAACTGACGCATGTTCAAAGACCAGGCTGGTGTAAGCAAAATATAAATATTTCCTGCTAGAACGCCGGCAGCAGTGGCTGCAGTGAACATGGTGAACATAATCAGCGCCGGTATTTGCGAGCCCTGGGAGGTTATGTCCGCCCGATTCCCCCTCCACTGCAGACGGCCGGGCCGGCCGGGCCGTCCGGGCCCGGCTCCAACAATGAGAGACAAATGACAAATGAAATACGCAAATGAAGAATTGTGGTGGTATCTGAATAGGCGCGTAATCTGTCGCACCACGTCTCGCACCGCGTCGCACCGCGTCGAGCGGCGCTCTGTGAAGGCGCCGCCTTCACTCTGATTTCAGGCCCTTCCACTTTGTCATTCCGGAGGTGGTTCCGGATTGTCTTACCCGACACCGCCACCGCTCCAGACCGAACGGCCGAGGTAAAAACTGAACCAAAATGGCGGTCGATAACAAACCAAGGAGCTGGGCCCCGCTTTCCCCCTACCCTTTTCCACCGTAGTCACGCTGACGATCTAATTGAGTCATTGTGGCGCTCATTGGCCGAGTCATCCCCTCCCTTCCACTTCCGGTGTGTGGCCGGAAATGAGATGCACGCACGCTCGGCGACGCTCGGCGACGCTCGGCGACGCTCGGCGACGCTCGGCGACGCTCGGCGACGCTGGGTTCGCAGGGCGGCCGGCTGAGCTAAACCACCAACCCCGCACCCCGGGTTCGATCCCACCCCGGGGCCGTTCTCCGCACTGTCAGTTTCACTGCGTTTCAAACTCATCCACTTCGCCGCCTCGATGGGAACGACATGCTTATTGCCTTGCTTTTCCTCCACGAACGCTTCACGAACGCTTCGCGAACGCGTCCCAAATCGGCAGGGCAGGGGCTGCCGTTGATTGATTGTTTCCGATCTGGCTGACGTCCCACCCCTCCCCCTCCTCCCTCTGCTCCCCCTTGGCCCTTTTGCTCTGTCCATTCGCCCCAATAAGTTGCCTCGCAATCTGATGCTTGGAGCAAGGTCGCTCGGTTCGGGACCTGTCGTGTTAGCCCGTTCCTTGCCTCGCAGCGCTTTCTTGGCTTCGGCCAGGCTTCGGCCAGGCTTCGGCAGTCCCGCACTGGGACCATAATCGCCATCAACGAAACTGGGAAACTTTAAAGTAGTCCTGGGGCTGCGACTTAACGATACCCCAGATTTTTATTGTCGCTGGAAGGGGGCTTTTTCAAAGGCCATGTGCACAGGACTCTTCCAAAAATTCATGGTCTAATGTAAAATTGTGCGATTTCCCGCCTTCTTTCCAGACAGACGTAATGTCCCTCGGTTCGCAGTGTTCGCAGTGTTCCGAACCTCCGTAGCCTTGCCGGGCCGTTGCCGGGCCGTGCCTGCCGTCGGGCCGTGAAGGCACCGCCCCCTCCCCCTGGCGATAACGAGTCGGGATTGTGAGTAGTGAAGCGAAGGTGACGAGATGATCACACTGCCCTTTGCACCCCGCACACATTGGGCATAACACTTCGGGGAGGGTTGGGGCTGGGAGGCTCGGGGTGGGGGACTGTAAATAGCGTGGACTGGATAGTAGGGGCCAAATGCTCACCCTGGATAGCTACCGGGTATTTCGTTCAAAATGGGGGTTCAAAAAACCTTGCCTCAGACTGGGAGTGGCAACTCAAGACTGTTCATCGGCGTCGTATTACGAAAACTCTTTGTAGAGTATATGACACTGATATTCAATAGAACCACAGTAAACAGTACAAGAGTATTAAGACTTCATTCATGGACTGTAACTGCACTTAGAAGAAAGTGTAAGTTGATGACTTCGTTCACCGTACTAGAAAATCCTTCAGCAGTACAGGCACGAAAACCGAAAGGATAACTAGAAAAAGGTAAGTCTCCCAAGTCACTCGCCTTCGTCTGTTACTTTTCTACACGCACACACAGACGCACCCGCGGCGTACGCATTGACACACACCAACACACCGCCAGTGAATGGGCGCAAAGGGGGTGCCCGCTCGCCCATTTAGCTCACAATAATAGCGAATCAGTCGGCATTCAGTCGTTGGTCGCTTGTTCGGGGAGGGGGTGAAGGGAAGGCGGGGCAGGGGAGGGACAGGTTCGTCAAGCGATGCAGGCAGAGCCCTTGCGGAGCCCGCCAAACATTTAGAGTGGCCCTCCAGTGACCTTGCACCAAAGACTTCTTATTAATTTATTTTCTGAGAGAAAAGAGAATCAACAGTATTCTTTTTGAAATTTGGCCCGGTCTTGATCCCGATCCCCATCACCAGATTAGCAGGACCACAAGCGACCGCAGACCTTGGCGCCGTCCGTCCCCGTCGCCAATTTAAGGACTCCTAATTAATTAACTAATTAACTAAATTAAAGTGGGGGCCAAATTATAAATTATACCGGGCTGGCCTACTGTACTGCACCTGGTTGTACACGAGGGCACTACGCTGCAAGTTTTTAAAGCCACAGGCAGGCGATTCCGCTATTGTTGTTTTTGTTAACCACCTGTTCAGACGCTGTCAAAGGCTCCGCGTTGATAACAACAACAACACTTGAGCTTGAAATATTTGGCGTGTCTTTGTCCCGCCCTCTGCGCTGCGAGCTCCGGGGCCCGAGCCCCAGGCCCGAGGCCCGCCAAGTGCTGAGTAATTAAATTCCTTTCCTACCTAATTTATCGCGGCCCCGGAATAGGTCGCGTTAAAAGAGAAGAAGAGATTCCAGCGTCTGCCAGCAGCAGCAACAACAAATTTGGCCAACTCGGAAGATTTGAGCCGGTGCAATGCAGCAACAAAAACAGTCTTGTTCGTTTGCGTTTGAAGAGATTATCAGGTGTGCACCAATCCACTGAGGCATTTCAGAAAATGCTCCTTCTCAGTCATTGACAAGGTCACTAACACGCTATGATTCTTCAAAACCACCGAGTCCACTGCGAAGTCTACTGAACAGCTGCACAGCGGTAAGCCGTTATTTGAAATCCCCAGCAGCTATACCCGCTAGCGACGCCGTAATGCGACGATGAGCAGCCGGCCAGGAAAAGCAGGAAACAAAAAGAAGAGAAAGGACGCAACAACAACAGCCGAAGCCAGGCATCGCGGTAATTAGCGTCTATTTCAGCAT